GATGTTAAGCCCAGGATAGAGGATGGTAGAGAATAGATCTGAGAGCAAACAGACAAAAGACCAGCATATGTGGTTGAAAATAAAGCCCATAAATAGCATCATGGTATATGCAGTGTTCTAAATCTGTCCTGTCATTTTTGCAGGCAAAAAATCTGCTTAAAATGGCCATTGAGAGCAGGCTTGATCCACAGAAACAAGGTTACAGCAATAGAGCGCAGAGGAAAGCAGCAGAAGGCAGAGGTGTTATAGGAGAAATGCACTCCCAGGCAAAGGGAAAGCACATCACAGAGTGGCAGGTCAGAGGACTGGTGTGGGTACAGGTTTGTCCTGAAGTAACCAGGCTGACCTGTTCTACAGACAAGTGGGAGGAGAGCCTTCTGGCGTGTCTCATGAAGGAATTCACCCGGGGAAGATCTTTACCTTAGAAACTGTTCTAGCCTCCAGAGTCTGGTTTTAATTGCCTTTGGCAAAATTTCAGAACCTTCAGTACGCTCCAGGAGCTGAGCTGGATACAAAGATGCACAAGATACAATCAAGAATGAGCCTTGTACTTCTTCCAGGAGTCCTAACTCTCATGAGGGTCAGAAGTGAATCAAAGGATTATGATACAATGGGATAAATGTAATAATATCTGTGCCACGGAAGAGGGAGGGAGTAACTGCTGGGGGGTGGGGAGCTCAGGAAAGCGGACTGAGAAGGCCTCACGAAAGTGACATGATGAAAGGTGAAGGAAGGAGAGGAGCTCCTCGGACCTCCGAGTCCGACTCTAAAATAACAGCATTGAACCAAACTTCCCTAAACACCACTATTACCCCTCAAGGATCGACAAAGCAGCTGTTCTTGCTGCATTTACTTCTCATGTAATGGAGACCATGCATACATGTAACATGTTTGAAAGTAAATGATGGATAAAACGAGTCCACGAGCCCCATCAGTCAGCATCAGCAGGGCCAGGCTGACCTCCAGAGACGGTGAACCAAAAAGTGAACGATGCTCTTCACATATAATTTAACGTTGCAACAACGTGCTTCTAAGGAAGTCCTGTACAGTTCTCTTTTCCCACAATAACACCTCTTGTATGTTTGGCCAACCGTGGCGGGGAGACACTCTCGTGATTATTGCCGTGCCCCCACTTTGCCAGCACCCCATGCACGCATTTGGCCTGTCGGCCAGTGATCCTACTGGGAGGAGGCAGCCCCTTTCCCCTCTAAGACACCCAGACCAGGTCGGCTTCAACAAGTTCATGTTCCTGTTCTTAAGCTAATGGACGCAGAGCTGCTCTTTCACTTCCCCACACAGCCCGTGCATTATGACTTTGTGCTTGACCCCTTCTGTCAGTACCTTGCAACTCAGGAAAGCCACCTGAAGCCTTGCGGTCTGGCTCCCCGAGAAGAAAGGCTGATGTGAGAAACTGTTTCCTTACACGGAGCTCAGCGGCTGCTTATCAGAGGAAGACCGTATTGCGGTGAAGTGTTTATGAGCCCGGGGGTCTGAAACAGGTCCTCGTCGCCGTGTGATCTTGGGCAAGCGATTTCACCCCGGTGAGCCCAAGGTTTGTCTCCTAGAAATGTGCTTCACTTATAGAAGGAAGTGACGTCATTTTTTCGACACAGACTTCAAATGTCCCTACTATGTGCCCGGCACCGTTCTTGAAGAAAGAGATACAAGAGATAAAAGAATCCCTGGCCTAGAGCTGACATTCTAGGGGAAAAAGACAACGCAAATAAAAAGAATCTCTATCAGGTTAGAAAGGAAACGGGCTAGGGAGCTCTGGGAGAGATGCCATTTTAGGTGGAACGACCAGAAGGGCCTGAGTGAGCAGGTGACTTGGTAGATGGAAGATAAGCAGCAAGAGGACACGTGGGGGCCTGCCTTCCAGGCAGAGGGAACAGCCTGAGCGGGGACCTAGAGGCAGAAGCCGGTCTGGTAGGTCTGAAGAACATTGAGGGAGTCTGGCTGACAGCGACTGAGAGTGAGAACAGACAGGAGGGAAATGAGGTCAGAGCTCAGGAGAGAAGAGGAATGACAGGCTCTGACTTGCCTTTGAATAGGCTCACTCCTGGGAAACCCGTCCGGAAGTTCCCGTAGTGATCCAGGTGAGAGAGAGAGGAAGCACACCGAGTCCTAACCTTGGCGCCTGGCCGGAACCAGCTCTAGGGGAGTGCCCACTGACCTGAAGCTGGCGCATGCGCAGCTGGCGAGGGAAGACCTCAGCTTTGTTCTCCTTTCTGCCCCTCTCTCAGCCTTCCATCTACTGTCAGAGTCATCATCTTCCTCAGTCACCCTGTTTGTCATCTTCTTCCCCTTTTCTTCTCTCTCTGCTTCCTCTTCACTCTGCTGTTTGCCTTTACTTTCTCTGATGAACGGTCTGTCCTCCAGGGCAGAGTTGTGGGGGGTGGTTTTGCATCTTGGGGAGAAAGCAGTGCACCTCCAGTCCTATCAGTACCACAGGATGCATCAGTGCAACCAAGGTGGGTGACAGGCACAGAAGGTGCCCAGAGAGACGGCTCTGCCATGCTAGTGGTACTGAGGCCACAGGCAGAGCTCTGAGCCTGGTCAAAGTTCAGCCATGAAAAGAGAAACCTCTCCCGGTATTTCAGGCAAGTCCTAAAAGGACACTGATGCAGGGAGTTAGAGGCTGACAGACCACAGCCAGACCAGGAGAGCAAAGATCAAAAGGCCATTTTCAGAAAATCAAGAAGTATAGGGCATGTAGGGAAACCACCACAAATAATCCCAAAGCCTTCAGTACCTAAGCAAGTGATTCTCAGAAGGAACCTCATTGATACCAGCCACCACCTTAGTGTCACAAAATCAGGTAAATGGTCACAGTAAGCCACAGGGAGATTCCCAGAAGTTATTCTGACAGCAGGACCACTGGCCATAACATAACTAGGCATCATGACCCAAGTAGGCGTGACGTAACACAGAAATGTCTGCAAATCACAGCAATACATTCCACTGAAACCAGACTCAACATTTCCTGAGCTCAATTTTCCCTCATCCGGAGCCTCAGGGTACCCAGGGCCACTCTCATCCCCCTGACAAGGTGACAGAAGGGAAGTCAGAGTGGAGAGCCACAGCACCTTAACTGTGATTTAAAATATCTTACTTTTGCTAGTTTTACAAAAACATCTGGCCCTGTGCATACACGCATTGCTCAGACCCCTCCCAGGGCCCTCAAGGGTGTGCTCTGAGTGAGGGCTCCCGCAGCTTCAGCTTCTCATGGAAAATCTGTCTCTGCCTGGAGCAGAAGCGATTTACCTTCACTGGCCAGAGAGCTGATTCCATCATAGGCAGGGGCGTTGGGCCAGTGTGAAGTTTCCTTGGGAATTGTTTGGAGCAGTAATGTTTTGCTCAGCTTGGAAACTGCTAATAACACTACTAGATGATTTATTAAATTGATACAAATTTGAATTAGTAGAAAATGAGCCACGGTGTGTAGCCTTTACTCTCAGACTTCTGAATCACTCCTCTTTCAGTCAGTATGACCCAAATTTGTCTATTCAATGAAAATATATTGATGGCACACTCCATGCAGGCACTGTGCTAAGCTCACAGTGGGGAGGAGGGTAACCATGAACTCTGATTGTAAGGGGCCTTCAGGGGAAGAGACAAATAATCAAGTAATCCGTCAAGTTAAGGACTAGAGGGAGTCCCACTGAGAATACAGACAAGTGATCCTTACCTAGTGCTCTAACAGGAGAGACTGAGGGATTCATTCTTTCAACAATTTGGGGGGCTGCCTACTCTTTGCCCACACAATGCTAACGGCCAGGATACAGGCAAGCAAAAAAGCTGCAGTATCCATGCCTTTCCAGAACCATCCACTGGAGGAAGCATTATCACAGAATCGGATTGCATCTATCCTTCCTGACAACCCAGCTATGGCCTCCATGAAGGAGTGCGGCAGGTGCACGAGCGAGCATATTTGAAGAGGGTGGGTGCTGCAGGACAGACTTTCAGGAAGGGCCACAGCACGCTGAGAACCAGAGGCGAATTAACTGATGAGAGAGAAGGAGGCAGGGCTTGTGGGAGTCTCCTAGGCAAAAGGAGCTGCAGGAAAAAAAGACCTGGGGCGGGGTGGGGGGGAGTAGTGGGATTGAAGTGGGGGGTGGAATGTAGAAGGGAGAAAAAGACAAAAAGAAGCCAGCGTGGGTGAGGCATCTCCGGGAGTGGACAGGAGAGAATATGGATACATGGGGCTGGAAAAATAGAAATGGGCTAGTGTGCCTAAAACCAACAGGAGCCCCAGAAGTTTCTGAGGAGTGGAGAGACATTGCCCAGTTGGCATTATATGGAAGGCTCTGACTGCAGCGAGAATATTGGATGACAAGGGTTGCTTTGGCAGGAGCTGCATCCTAATTACTTCCCCCTTTCTCACTTTCCTTTCCGGTAGCCACAGAGATCTAAATAAATGCATGCCAGATAGTCAGTTCAAAGCACCGACAATGAAGGGCTGTGTGGCTCAGAGAAGAACACACTGCCTTCAGTCAGGCAGACGCAGATTAGATCTTCCCTCCACCTCTAGTCAAGCGGTGGCTCTGGGGAGTTGCTCACCCTCTCTATAACCCACTTTCCACCCACTCTAATAATGCCTCCCGTGCAGAGTTAACGAGTGTCAGAAAGGGTGTGTGCAAATTACCTGGCATTTGGCAGAACTCTGGACACACCAGCTACTCTTGGAAGTGACTGCAGGGCAGGGAAGCTAGTCAGAGGAAGATTTCCAACCAGAAGTAATACTAGCAAAAGCTCTGGGAATACAGTGCAATCTCTCCTATTAAAAAAAAAATAGAAACGTGCAATATCCTATATTTATGTAACTAGCAATTTTTAGAGATAGCTGTCTAATGAAATCTTCCTAACAGCAGTGTTGGAAAACAAGCCTATGTTATATATGCAGTTAAAATATATACACATATACGATAAAGCTTAAGAGCTTTCTCAATAAATTATATTGTGCAAGACTTGCGTTATCTCTGGCCTTTTTCTATTTGCAGCTGTCCTGACAACAAATGAGAAACTGAATTCATTTGTTAGCAGATGCATCTCCCAGACTGAACAACATTAGCTTCTCAAGCATGGGGCTATTGATTTCTGTTTCTGCAGAGTGTGCCGGAGACCCTGGCACTCAGTAGTAGGTATGTAGTGAATACTTGCGGAACAGAAAAATAGGTAATAAACAAAAGAAAAAAAAATTGAACGTATGAGTCTAGCAACTGTAGTTGATGAACCAAAATCAAGACACATTGTCTCTTCCATGGAACATGAATGTCTTGGAGAGAACTTGGCACAGAATGTTGAACACGGAAAATTCAGGATATACAATCGGCATACACCTCAAACAGCTGAGTCGGTTTGAAAAGAGCTATGGCCAGTTCCACTGTGAGCTTGTGTTATACTTATTTTGCAGTATAAAAATGGTTGCAAGTCCTTTGTTCACAATGGAAGGAACAATCTAGAAGATTTAAAGGATTTCTGTTTAGCTGTTGATACAAGGACTCGGGATCAGCTTTTCTCTTATCTCACTCACTGTAATTAATTAGCTGCCCTGATGAGACCTCTACTGGCACAAAAAGAACAAGTGAAACAGCCATACATTTTGTTTGTGAAGCACAGCTGAGCTGAGCTCAACAGAGTGTCGATTCAAAAGAGGGAAATAAAATATGCAGCAAAGTTGGGGACAGGGAACAAAGAATCCAGTATGACAATTGAAAGGAGGGCTAAACAAGCATTCAGAGTACCATCAAGAAGGTAAAAAGCCTTAAGAGTCTAGAAAAAAGATAAACTGGTGGGACAAGGCTGATAAATTGGACCAATTTAATAATCAATGAAGAAATTTAAGACTTTGTTCTAAAGGAATATTTTGACGAGTCAGGTTTATTGAAGTAAAATTTACATACTATAAAAGTCACCTTCTCGGGGCACCTGGGTGGCTCAGTGGGTTAAGGCCTCTGCCTTCAGCTCAGGTCATGATCCCAGGGTCATGGGATCGAGCCCCGTATCAGGCTCCCTGCTCAGGCGGGGAGCCTGCTTCCCTTCCTCTCTCTCTGCCTGCCTCTCTGCCTACTTGTGGTCTCTGTCTGTCAAATAAATAAATAAAATCTTAAAAAAAAAAAAAAGTCACCCTCTCAGTGTAAAGTTCAGTGAGTTTTAAACATCACATAGGGTGTGTAGTTATCGCCACAATCAAGAGGTAGAATAGTTCCATCACCCCCAAATTCCCACTTGACCCTTGTTAATCAATCCCTCCCTCGCCCTTAGCTCCCGGCAGCCACTGTTCTGTTCTTCTGTTGCTCTAGTTTTTCCTGCTTTCAAGGAATTTAGTAGCAGAACTTAAAATGGGAGAGAAAAGGCACTGAGATATTTTCCCCCTACCATCCACTCACTTCCTATACCCTTCAATAGCATCATTTAGCGAACCTAGTTTTACTGAGGATCTATTATTTACTAAAGATTTTAAGTACATCATCTTTCAGTTTTATAGCTTGTCGGGGAAGGAAGTTTATTCTCCCCATTTTCCAGGTGGAAGATGACACTCAAGGGTGTCATTCGGTAAGAGAACAGAGATTCCAAGTCAGAGGTGACCAAAAATGTCACCATGGTTTATCTCGGGGTGTTAGGTGAGAGCTCATTTGTACTTGCTTTCTTATACATTGTTTCCATTATCAAAGTTTTTAACAATGAACTTATGTTATTTTTATAACCAAAAAAATCTTTTATAAATAAATACATAAATATATACTATAAACAAGGTCTGATTCCAAAGCCTATCCTCTTTACTGAGCAAAGGGGGGAAGACAGGGAAAATAATTTAGAAGGGAACATAGGAAAGTCTCTTCTTGGCCATAGGCACCCATTCAGAAATGAGGGACCAGAATCAACTTTACCAAAAAGACTAGAGCACAGCTTTGCTCTGTCCTTAGTTCTCACCTCTGTCGAATATCTTCAAAAGGTCCCCTAGCAAAAATGTCTTTCCCAAATGGTGAACATAAGCCCCAGAGGCCAATAGAAACCCACTGAGACCACTCCAGACCCAGCAGACAATCCTGTGTATTTTCCTGCCTCGTCTCCAAAGACCAGGTAGGAACAAGCTAACCATCACGGGCAAGTGAGGTACAGCAACCACTTCTGGAGAGACAGGATGGTGAATACCAAGGCCAAGGTAAAGGGAGCAAGGAATAGAAGATCATATTTAAATACGACTATGTATGGCGTGCCTGAGTGGCTCAGTCCTTAAGCATCTGCCTTCGGCTCGGGTCATGATCCCAGGGGTCCTGGGATCAAGCCCGCATTGTACTCCCTGCTCAGTGGAGAGCCTGCTTCTCCCTCTCCCACTTCCCTCTCTCACTGTGTCTCTCTCTGTCAAATAAATAAAATCTAGAAAGAAAGAAAGAAAGAAAGAAAGAAAGAAAGAAAGAAAGAAAGAAAGAAAGACTGACTAAGTAGGGGGGACATTACCCATTCATGGTGCTGCAAGGGATTCATGAGGGCATTCTCTGATCTTTAGGCAGAATCTATTTATTCCCTGTCCCAAAAAATATTTGATGGGTCTTACAAAGGTATACATAATACAAAAATTTTTATGTTAATTATATGAACTTAAAATAAAAAGCAAGGAAAAAAATAGTCTTAAGTACTGGAACCTCATAGCCAAATAGAAAGACAATGAACCTTGACTCCTACCTTATACTATACACAATTAATTCAAGAAGGTTCACAGGCCTTAATGTAAAAGTAAAAACTAAAACTTCTGGAAGAAAGAAAAAGAATATCCTCACAAATAGGGATAAACAAAGATTTCTTAGACAAGAGGCAAAAAGCAAGAACCATTGAAAAACTGATAAATCGGATTATACCAAAACTTAAGCCTTTTGCTCCTAAACAGATAGTCTTAATTAACTATCATAGACTGGTATAAAATATTTGTAAAAACATGTATCTGACAAAGAATTAGTTTTAGAATATGTAAAGAACCCCTATACCTCAAAAGTTTTTTAAAAAATCATAGACTGAGAGAATCCATAGAGTGATATGAAATATTTATAGAAACATGTATCTGACAAAGAATTAGTACTAGACTATGTGCCGAACTTTTAAACCTAAAAACAAACAAACAACAAAAAACTCAAAACCAAACAACTCAATTTAGATTGACACTTCACAAGGGAAGAGACATTAATGGCTCAAAAGCCTTTTAAAATATTCTCAATATCATTATTCATCAGGGAAATACAAATTTAAGACACAGTGAAAAACTGCTATTCACATAAATGGCTAAAATAAAAATGACTGCCAACACTAAAAGTTGGAAGAACATGAAACAACATGAACTTGCGATGCCGCTGGTAACAACCACCACTTTGAGGAAAAGGTCTGACAGCTTTTTATGAAACTAAACATGCATCTCCCCAATGACCCAGCAACTGCACTCGTAGGACACACGGCCAGCCAAGAGTCATGAAAGCATTTCCACGAAGAGACTTGTACAAAAACATTCCTAGCAGCTTTAATTGCTAAGCAAACTGAGATATAGTCACAAAAGGGAATACTAATCAGCAATATAAAGAAACAAGTTCTGATAGCATAATAGGGCAGATGAATCCTTAAACTACTGGGCCCAGTGAAAGAAGGTTTATATAAGCATACCTGCCCTGTGAGTCCATTTATATGAAGTTGTAAGACAGAGAAAACGGGAAAATCTCCGAACAGTAGTTATCTCTGAGCTTGTGCGGGTGAAAAAAAGGGGCATAAGTGACCTTGCTGGCCTGATGGGACTATTCTGCATCTTGATAAGGATTTGTTATGACAAGTGTGTTCATTTGTTAAAAATCGCTGGATGGTAGACTTAAGGTGAGTGCATTTTGTTGTATATATAAATTTTAACTTAATAAAAAACAAAAATCATAACCAAATTTTGAGCTTTAGTTAATGATATGCATACTAAAAGGTTTAGGGGTTAAGTGTATAGATGTTTGCAATTTACTTTGAAAATATAATTGAAAGAGGGATGGATACTTAGATAATATGTGATAAAACAAGGATGATAAAAACTTAATTATGAAATCCAGGTGGTGGGAATATGGATGTTAACTATAAAATTCTGTCAGATTTGTAGGTATTTGAGAATTTGTGTAATAAAATTTTGGAAAAGATAGCTTAGGATTTAGGAGAAAGGAAAAACGCAGATCAGGCAAAAAGGATGAAATTGAAGTTAGAACCTCATAAAGATAGGTCTTTGAGCTTCCTAAGACCCAAAGCAAAAGAAAGAGAACAAACGCAGGAGAGGGAGAGGAAGGAGAAGGGAGTGAAGAGAAAGAGAGAGAGAGAGCAAGGCTCAGTTAATATTAGCAATGCCCATAAGATTTTCTTTTTTTTTTTTTAATAGGCTCCATTCCCAGCGTGGAGCCCAACATGGGGCCTGAAATCATGACCCTGAGATTAAGAGTCAGATCCTTAACCGACTGAGCCACCCAGGCACCACTGATTTTTAAAAAATTTTTCTAATAGAATACCACTTTTCCTGATACAAGTTTTAATCAAGAGGGCATTATGCACTGTGGTTCTATTAGGTAATGTAAGGACAAGGCTCAGAGACTTTATTTCTTAAGCAAGAAATTCATTTCTCTCTCATACATAGTAATCTATAGATAGTTTTCTGAGACTAGTATGGTCGCTCTGTTCAAGGGAAAATAGGTGATTGGGGCTCCAAAATTTGGTAATTTAGGAAATAGCTGTGATGATTTTATCCAGGAAAAAAAAAATTGTATCCAAAGACGTAAAAACCCTTGAAAATCTCTAGGAAAAATAGTCTAACATTTGTCTCATTGATCTACTCCAGTGCATCTTGCTAAATCCATTTCTCTCTGAACATGTACCATATGCTATGCACCATAGAGAATGATAATAATAACTTTTTTGTGCCATATTTCAACAATTCTAAGATGCATGATTTTTTCCCCACATTTTGGCTCCTCTGAAATCAAGATGGGTCTTAAAATCAATGGCATGTTGTAATTGGTGGGATTATTTTCTTTCTCTCTTTTTTTTAAGATTTTATTTATTTATTTGAGAGAGAGAAAGGAGTGTATGTGTGTGAGAGAGAGAGAGAGCATGAGCAGGAGGGAGGGGT